CTACTAGGTTTGACCAACAAAACACTACTGATTAATCTTTCGACGTTACGGATTATAATAGATTACCATTATGATTGTCAGTTCAAGACTTCGACCTACACAAGAGTACATAAGAAATTGCACCTTTTATAACAATAATTCCTAGTTCTAGTGATCTTAGCTGTGATTCTTAGCTGTGATTCTTAGCTGTGATCCACTTGCGTTCGGACTGTGAAGATTTCTAGCACATATTTCTAAAAGATTTCAATACCAAAGTACACAAGTTTCGCGCACTCTGACCGGACAAACATGGTGGCATACTATTCTTTTAGTGCACTTTTCTTGTTGTGGGGAAATTGCCTCTAACCCTCACTATTAGCATATTATATATTTTTATTCGGACGGTATAGTTAATAAATTTTTAAGTATAATTTGAAATATAGTGTCGCTTGTGCTATTTTTATATATTGTATTTATTATAGATCTGTACATGAAAACGAATTCCGATTTGCTGTAAACCGCAATGTAAATATTTTTGTCCATTGCCTAGTACCCCGTCCACGTATCCCGTGGTTAACGCCTATACCTGGCGTCTTGTTTGACTATAAATAAAACGTTTGAGACTTACGATTCGATTCAGCCGCTGCAATAGCTAGCTGCCAATTAAAGAACATGAGAACAACTGCAACAGATACGATTCTGAATGACAAACAGATCGCCATTTGGAGAATGCAGTTATACCTAGACCATGAACAAGACCATGAAGAGTTTGCAAACCAGGTGTAAGACTTGATCGTTTCAATGCAAAATTCTGCTAAATCTATCGTTTTGAAGTCGTGCATGAATTTATTATATCGGAAATTTGATACAGAATGATGTAAAGAAGATTTGATTGGATGGCACCGTGATATGTTAATTTCATCAGCTGTCTGTAAACATGCTTGTTTATTAATGATTGATAATGAGAAAATAAATTTATTGATAGCTCACATAATCACCATTATTCTTCAACCCAGCAACACATATAGCGATATATTTCTAAAATTCAAATTACTCACAAGACAATCCTCCATTCTGCCAAAGGTGAGCAATATAAATGAAACTATAACTTATACACCCATTTTCGTAACAAATAAATATCTTATTATTTTTAAATTTATCATTGTAGTTATAAATAACAAAGAGAAAACAACTTGGCAAATACTGAGGAATTTAATTGCCGGAAATCATGATTTTAAAAAACAGGAACTTTCGCATGAACTTCAACTTTGGTTCAAGCCCCCGTTTCAGCAAACCATTTTAACTTTCACATAAACATTCCGACATTTTAATCAGCACTCGAGATGTGATTTTCAAAGATTATATCTTTTTATATATAGATGTATGGTATTTACTTGTCGCCTAAAGAAAAAGGCAAGGGAAGACGATATATATTATTTATATTATTTTCTAAGGGCAATGGCAAATAATTATAAATTCGGAAATCGCAGTGATTGAGTTATTTCTTCTGTGAGGAACGGAAACACCTAATTACATTAATTAACTTATGGACAGGGAAAGGTTTTTTAGTGACCTTTATTGAATGAACATTGGCGCCCAATTATTTCAATATGTTTACAACTGAACTTATAATATGCGGCTTATTACAAGCATTCTATATGAATTCATGAGTGATTTTGTTTATTAAAACGAAATAAAGACCATGCATGAATTATGGCTCGAATTGTACGAAGAATGTAAGAGAGGCGGTTTTCATCTTTGAAATTTTGCACGCTTCCTAAGTGGTTAAGTATATGATTTGACTGATCTGCAAATGAGTTTCTGAGAAGTTGAAAACTGAATTAAGAACTTAAATGAGGATCGCTTGACCTGCATTATATTCCATGCCCAGTTTGTTACATCGATAGCTTCTGACTAAATCAATATTACGCATTCCTGGCACAGTACATTATGATTTCAAGTCTAACAGGAATCTTATCGCAAGAGCGTACTCGAGTGCTCGCATCTGATTAAATTAAATTCCAGGCCATATTTTGATTGGATGACGACAATCGCAGTGACCTTGATCAGACCACAATGATCGTTATTAAAGACTGCGCTTTTTTACAGCTCATGCGTTATTCATAGAACACTCGAGGCGCCTGCGTTAGAGTTATTTGTATGCGCGAGATCATACATTGGCGTTTTGGTTGATTAAAAATGCGTTTCTAAATATAGTACTGAAAATATAATATCAAAATCCAAGTAGTATCAAAATATGTGCACAGAGTGAGACATTGAAATTCAAATGTATTAACTCGTGCATACAAATTATCGTATATTTTGCATGTTTTTTGCGTAACACGATCTGAATTATTGCGCTTTCATGCATGCTTTCTAATAAGTTTTCTTGGTTGAATACTAAATGAAGTAGCTTCATGCTCTGATGAGAGCACATTTATGAGGTTTAGGAGATATGACTAGATATATGTCTTATTAGTTTATCACCAGATCACGGCATAAACATGCATGTCTTTCTTGCCGGTAACCCTGAAATTAGACTAGTAATCTACGTAATGGAGTACTAATCATTAGCTTCGAAAACAAAGACAATATTTTGCTGATTTTGAGACTTTTATTGAAACAGAGATTCTGCCTAAATCCAAAAGAATTTGTAACCAAAACCTGGATTTTCAATACGATTCAGGCATTTAGCTTATACTTCAATTGTCGCTTTTTTTACCCACCTAGCAGGGAAGACGTGCTACGAGACATTATAGTCTTGTGTATAGATAAACACTGAATATGCTTTGCTGGTATCATCAGAAATAGGCAAATTATACAGTAATATATTAGGGTAAGGTAAAAAATAATACGTAATTTCGTGCTTACTTTTACTGACACAGTGGCATGCAGTAAGCACTATAGCACTAAGGGAGGAAATATTATTAAAAAGAAATTGGCGCAGCTTAAGGACGTCATTGTGTAACCCATCTGTAAGCCGCTAATCCATCTCGTTTTGATGGACTTTCTGGGAATGATAATGTACTTTCCCAAATGTCATTGTGTTTTTCAAATCAAATTGCAATCTCCTTTTATGTAATTTGAAACCAAATCTCGTTTCAGCCGAAGTCGTACACACTCAAGTTCTTGCGTAAAAATTATGCTCCGTCGCTACGAATTAAGGTGGGAAACAAACATTGTTTACTACAGGCGGCGAGTCATTATGTGTAATAATTGCCTTCAATTATTTTATATAATTTTACATAATTTGACCACAAAATCAAATGTAAAATATAGACAAACAGGAAATGACTTTGGAACACAATAACAGCATAAGCCAAATGCGCATGCAGTAACGTGTCATTGCCTGCCACAAATAAATATTGACATTGCGAAGGAATACTCAATAAAGTCGAGGTGATGGCGGGTTATAACTAGAAGAATAACTTATGTCGAAAAAGAATAACTAGCGAAAACGATCGGTGTAAAACTCTTTTCTTTATTTTTAAATAACTTTACCAATTAACTGATCAAATATTGAGATATACACACGAACATTAGTATGAAGACCTTGGCACAGAAAGTGCAGAAACTTGGCACAGAAACTCTCTAGCTGGCGCCAATAACAGATGACTGATACATGTAAAGATTTGTGGAAGGAGAAAGTTGCAAGGAAATAGGTTTTTCAACTTGTCCTAAAAAAATTTATTGATCGCAAGCTGATTGTTTATGACAGATTTATATTAGGCAAATAGTTTACTCAGGTATGCGCATGTAAGATGCACATTATGTGCATCTTCATGCACGGAGATTGATAGACCAATTCTGAACAATCATACGGAATAAGACAATAGAATCAAGAATCGAAACTGAAAGATTTGAACCATCAATAAGACATTAGAAGTTCACTACTGAAAATATCAATCTTTTAACCATGGCTATCAATGACTGCAGATGTACACATCTCTAGACTCTATTGGGAATTCTACTAGGCATGTCTCATAAAATCAATAAAAATCTCTGAAATATCCAAAATTCCTTTTGCCGACACACGATGATCGTTGTTGATTCAGTCGAAAAATTTTTTTTTTAAATCCTTCATTAAGATTTAGTGAAAGATTGGTAACATATTTCAGACCTTTAAGACCTTTTAAGCTTTTAGTGTTGAGTGAGTACTCATATATATCATTTGGCTCAAAACAAGTCAAGTCGACTATAAACATAAATTAACTTCAACAGGGGTTCAAAATCTTAAGTGGTTGTACGAATTAGAGTCAATAAGAGCACAATATGCCCGACTGATATATTTTCTCGTGTCATGGGGTAATGTAGTATCAACGGGAATGAAATACGATGACCTGAAACGACCGCTTTCAGTAATCTAATTTAAGGATACAAATTCCCTTCTCTCTCTTGCTGAAGCAAATAGTCCACCCCCACCAAATCACTCAGGGAATAGACTTCGAGTTCAGCATACAGAATCTAGCTCTGTTTAAAAAATTTGTTTGCGAGCTAAAATTTAAGGACTTCGTCCTATGTGAATTGTATAGCTAATACCTGACGCTACTTCTCATTTGTTTTAATATTAGTACTTTATTTAGAATGGATCGCGGAGCAATTATAGATGGCGGGTTGTTTTTATCAGCGCGGTCGTTATCCGTGAAGACAAAAATAATAGAAATGGACTGGCACTAATCCAGCATTTTTAGCTACCTCAATTCGAGTTGAATTGCAATTATCATTCCAGCATACTTAGAATTCACTCTAATTTCTAAATGTTATAAACTTCAAATCTCCTGTCACACACATTCGTAGGTAGAGCAGCTTTTAAGACGACTTCCAAATGCACGTTTTACTCGTGAAAACACCCCGTCCGTTTTCTACAAACGTTTTATGCTGAATGTGTTCAAAGGACTAAACTACTTGTATTGAGTAAAATAATTTTGCTTACAAAGCACAATGATCAACAATAAACGACTGTCACAGAAAAAGGTTATAAAGAAACTTCATGATAAAATCCTCTTTAAACACATTTTTTTTTCCAATAACGCTACCGACCTTCAAAATAGCAATGGATTTTTTACGTACAGTTGATTAGCTACATCTGTCATCTTTTTCATTTACAATGATCACATGATCGCGGTCAAACTTGGATCTCTTTCTAACTCCCTTGCAGCCTTCCCAAAAGCCTCCTTGATCATGTAAGAAACACTGATCTGGTAAACTGCTTTAGTAACGTTGCCACGCTGATAAGGATCTTCTATTCTTATTTGAGGTTTTCTCCATGTGCCTTCACTATAGTTACTTAATGGAATATAATCCCCAGTGCGAATTGAGATGACATTCTCCCAATAAAAATTTGAGTAAAATTTGAAAAATCCAACAAGTAACTCCCCTAACGTCTGGGTATTTCGTGACGAATAACTTCGCACATCGTAAGGGACGCTATCTTTTTTCGTGTTTGAAAGCTTTTCAGCAAGTGAAAGGACTGACGAACTGCTAGCAAAAAACCGGGGAAATGTTGCTTGCAAGGAAGGTATAACAGGGTCAGTGCATCCTTTCTGGAGGTAATGGAGAATAAGCAGGATCACAGCAAATCCTAATAAGGAACAGGTAGAAAGATTGTGGTTAAATTGCTTCTATACTTTGTAGTCTAGTATAGTGGTTACACATGCGTGAGGTCACCATGCAGCAATGATAGAAAAAATAGATTAACCGTTACTTTTTTACAAAACTAAATATGTATTCGGTACAAAAATCAAGGAACCATAGGAATTTGAAAAAAAGAATCATAATAAGCAAATAAATTGCATCCATAGAATGTCTTATGCATGACAGGAATCGCTTCAAAAATTTTTTGGTTTAAAAATTATCTTCGTCTATTTTAAAAGAACGTCATGAATGTTTACAAAATTCGCTTACGTATTTTTGTTAACTTTATTACTTCTCAAGATATTTTCGAATGAAATTGTCTTCTATCCGCCATTTTGGACATGCATATTCTTGGTCGGATCATAGAGATTATAAATGAGATTGAGACACTGGAGGAGGCATTGGTATCGAAAACATCAGTCGAAAAATGGAGCGCGATAATGGGGGGCAAATTCAAGTTCCGGATGCTAAGCCAAACGCTGATTGGCTAGATCAATGCCTCCTTAATTAGCAATCACGTAAGCAACAACTAAAATTTGTATTAAAAAAATGATATTCGATTTTTAGGTTGCTTTGCCGATTTTTTAAGGAAAAACAGTGCTTTTTTGAACTGGTTTTACTACCTTAGACATCCTGAAATGATACTTTATGGAAAAAACAGGAATAGAAAAAACTCGTTTAAAACGACATATTTTGGCCTCGGACATCGTGAACATCCGGAACTTGAAATTGCCCCCGATTAGTGCGCTCCCCAATTTCTCCTTGATGCCCCCTCTAGTGTTATTTGTAATCTCTTTGGATCGGATATGCATGACATAGCCTGGGTGAAAATTCGTTTTGTAACTTCAAGTTAACGATTCAGTGAAGTGATAGTTTCATAGTATCACAATCGCACGTATCTCAAATTATAGCGTTTAAATCATATTATTGTTCATAGAGTTCTAAACTAAAGTGTAAACATGTAGTTATTTTTTGAGCATCAACCCGGCTTTTGACGTCACGTAATTAGATCTCAATATAAAACAAGATGGCGGATGTATCTCGATAGGATGTTTTTGATCACCAATATATTGCGAAGTGAGGAAGATAAACAAATTTTGTAAAAAGGTTCTATAAGAAGAATAAACTTCCTCCATTGTAATTATCACTACTCTGGTTTTAATAAATGAAAGTAATCACCACACAAAGATTAACTTTCACGACCCAACGTTTCGACACTCCGGTCTAGTGTCTTCATCAGGGGTGATCTGATGTTGAAACTCGGTTCCTTATATACTCTCAAAATGATTGCGAGAAAGAATATCTAGGTCAAACAAAACGCCAGTTCGACACACGTTTAAAAGAACATCAAAAGGCCGTTTCGAACTTAGACAGTTCAAAATGTGTGTCAAACTAATCATAACATTGGGTGGAACGCAGTGAACTTTATAATATAGAGTTCACTGGTGGAACGATTCAAAAGTCATCATCACTAATGATCGTTATGGACAAAGGCGTTGTTTGGAAGCCTGGCATATTAATGCGAGTCTTTGTGCCCTAAATAGGGATGACGGAAGCTATTTGCCAAAAGAATATTTACATCGATAGATGACGTCATTTTGAAAGAATATAAGGTACCGAGTTTCAACATCAGATCACCCCTGATGAAGACACTAGACCGGAGTGTCGAAACGTTGGGTCGTGACAGTTAATCTTTGTGTGGTGATTACTTTCATTTATTAAAACCAGAGTAGCGATAATTACGATGGATTATATACCTGGTTGCCGTGAACTCGACATAACTATAAATTTCCTTTTCAACAAAGCAGAAATAATTATTATTTCCATATCCCCTTAAAATTTTGGAAAACGTAAAGTGTTAAGGTTTTAAAACTAAAATTTCGACGTCTTGATATTCAGTCATTTAGTAATTTAACAGAGAAAACTTTCATCTTCACACGTGCAAGATCCGTATAGTTAAATCCTAGTGCATTTTAACTTGTCTGGTGCGTATATCTCTTAAAATTTTCTTCAAGGATTGAATTTATTTGCTTCTCAAAGCTGAAAATTCGCGTCGTATCCTGTGTGTATGGGCCGGTGTGTATGTGAATCGCGTCAGGTGTGTGTGGGGCCTAAACGTGACGCCGTGAAATGGTTTACACTTCATACGTATCTAACACAAATGGTAGCAATTCGCCTCTGACACAAATTTTTCCTTATTTCCACGTATACACCTTAGTTCAGTCTTAAAATCATTAATGACATGTTTAGTCATTGAATCGTGCATTTTCGGAAAGCAGGTTTTTTCCCGAAAGAATGAAATACATAATAAATTATTAACTTCCGACGTTTCAAATCCTCGGAGCATATATCGTTAATTTATTAATACGTCAAATTCATACTATACATATATCCTACACATCGTACCTCAAAAAAGCTAGGCCTCGTGAAACGATATTTATAATATAGTTTTTCAATAAGGTCTAAAAATAATCTGCTATACTTTACCAGAGAGTTTGTGTTGTCTCGCATCGCAAATGCCTGCTTTTTGCGCCCATCTTTTTATTATCAATGCCAGCGGTCGTACACGTGGATCCATCAAAGCATAACATTTGAGTAGATAGGTGCTCTGAACCCCACATTTTTGGTTGATACTGATGTCACCCTCATAATCAGATATGTCATCTCGAATCTTCAGGATTGGCACTTTTGCGCCGTATACTGACTAAAAAAAATCAAAGTAGGCCTATTTGTAAAGTAAAAGCAGTTTTTCGAGTGAAAGAGTTACTCGTGATTCCAAATGGCCAGGTGGGACGAAAAAAAAAGTTAAACCAAATTTTTCGCGGAGTAAATTTAACCCGAGTTTCAAACTAGTTTTTTACCAAATGCATCCTGTGACGTTACATTGGTCAAGTCCATAGACACACGTCATAGACACGGCGTTCCGATTGCGCTGAGTCATGCTCTTACTATATTTATTTAACGTTTATGTAAGGTGTAAACATAGTAATGAAGTAAAAATCTTATATTCAACCAATAAAATTATTATTACAGTGAACCAGCCTCGTATCCAGGCGCTTTAAATAACATTAAATATAGGCACAATAACAGGCTTTTACATAGGTCAGTGGCTATAAGCTGAGCGCCGTAGCGCGCGGGAAATTCTCAGGAATTAATAACATCTTTCATGGGCATGGAAAGATTTAGAATTTGCCCTAGATCTTTAGATATGGCCAATTTAGAGCATAGGTACATGTTACTACAACGTGCATACAATTCAAATACCCAATTTCAAAATATTTTCTTTTAGAAAACTGTTAAAAAAATTTACAGGCACGCATAAATATTTTGTGGAATACCTGCCTGTAAGCAAGTATGCCTTGTATGCTGGAGTTATTCGCTAAAAACTATAGAATTTTCCTTTGAGACCATCCCATTTACTCTCACTGACTCGCTTTAAAGGAACATAGGAGAGTTAGTATGTTTTACGTAACCCTGTGGAGTTAACGTAGGGCGCTGAGAGATTTTACATCGCTCTCTTCATAATCATATCATTCACGAGTCGGCGCGAAACGCCGTGGGGGGTGGAACCACCAACTAGAGATTAGGAATTACACCTGAGTATTAATGTTACTACGAAACAAAAAGCGATGTAGTCCAAGATTTAACAGCGAAACTCGAACCTAAACAGGTAGGTGTCTATTTTGGTAGTTCCACGTTTCACGTTTGCTGTAACGCAGGCAGTTTAGTGTATACGAGAACTTGGCATGGCCAAAGCCATACTCGACACGGAAATGTAGGGCATCACATCATCGCTTTAACTTCAAAAAGGGGTTTTGAAAGTCGAAATCTGAATCTTAATGTAAAACATCGCTTCAAAATGAAAAAAATAGATAAAATATTTAAAATACATTTGCAACCTCGTCCCCAGGGTCTTCCTCGTAGCGCGCCAAGGGGAAGACCCTGGTAATTAAACCCTGTGAAAATCTCCAAGATTCTTGGAGATTGAGTGAAAGCGTAATAGCGAATTTCCTTTAAGTACTGACCAAAATAAACGCTGGTGTGATGTGAAAACCCGCCAGCATTCATTTCGGTCAGTACTTAAGGAAATTCGCTATTACGCATGCACTCAACTTGGAGATTTTCACAGTGTTTACCAGGGTCTTCTCACTTTTCCCTCGGCGCGCCACGAAGAAAACCCTGGGGACGAGGTTGATAAATTTGACGTTATTTTGTACGGTTTTGGTTTTTCTGATCATACAATTAGCCTACTAAATAGTTACCTTAGAAATATTATGAATATATGTATCTGTGTCCAACAGTAGAAATATTGACTACACCCACTCGTTGAGTCATTTCATAGTGTAAACGTATAAGCCTAGCTAGCCCAGCCTGCCCAGGAAATTATATACCTCGCTTTAAATACCATACCATATAGGGACGAGCAGTCAAATTTAGAGCAAAATAGGCTGAATTTACGGGCTCAACGCACTTTATTGCAAAATGCTACTTTATTGTACAAAGTCAAGTACACGTCAAGTTGTAGTCCGTGGTAGTATCAATTATAAGATCATGAAGGAATCGAAATCCTATACACAGCATTGTACACAAATATTGGCGCCGGAAGTTAACCAAACAGTTCAATACTCAAAGGAATCATGATCTACTAGTTTCTGCAAGCATGATATGGAACATTACATTGGCAATTAGCCAATTACGTTTTGAAGTTTCCAACTAAATCTTGTTTGTCAATGGACTTTCAGTGCGCTGATGGTGAGGAAGAGGTGTAAAATGTCAGTCCTTTGAAAGTCTTTTGATTGAAACTATTACCCTAGAATTTCAGATTACACTTGAAGCAAGCCCACAATGTAAGATTGGGGTCAAAATATTGCATTTCACACAAACGTGAGCAAGTTGAAGCAAGATATAAATTCTATTTATTTCAATTATACCTCCACTTTATACCGCCTTCGGTAAGGTTTTAAAGCTTCCTCAATTTTACTCAGGCATCCCATTTCAGAAACATAACTTTCCCTGGTTATCACAGTGAGATCGCAGTCACTGTGTTTAAAACCGAATAGATTTGTTGACGAACCGACCAAGATGAGCCGACTTCCGGGCAAAGCGCGTTGAACAATTTGCTGAAGTTCCTCGCACCATCTAAATTTGTCTTCCAAAGTCGAATTGGCGGCGAGCTCAATAGATTTGAACTCTTCCTTAATCTCTGTTGTCAATTCAGAATATGGATTGGATGAATATCTAGGCGAAGAACGATATCGATAAGCCATGATAGGAAAGTTTCTGAATTCTGATGACCCGAAGTGTTGTTGCTGGCAACTTAATGAATGCATAATTATTTTGCCGGGCATTTCCCTATTTCTGGTCTCTGGCAATATGCTTCATTTTACGAGATTTGCGAGAATGAAAAAAGGTAACTCTTGTGGTATCTTACAAGTCGTACAGTATTTGTTTTTCCCTAGGGTTAATAAAGCTAGAAAGCTGGATGATTTGTCATTCAGGATATGTACTATGAATATGAGGTAATCTTGCTGCGTTGGGGAAAACCCGAAGATTATTAATCATGATAAAACAAAATCAATTTTTGCGATCGGAATAACTGAATTAAAAAGTCGTCTAAAAAGAAGTGACTAGTACTATTAAGTTGCGGGAGATAACTAAACATCACAGAATTGCAACTTTTGCAGTTTGTGAAACAGCTGGGACACCAAAGCAAAGTGTTTGATTCTCATGACATGTGTAGAAAGATAAAGCTGTAGCTATATATCGTTTCATTTGGCCAACTTTTTCTTAAGAGTAAATTCAGAATGGTCTAATTGCTCTAAAGACTGAAGAATATTTCGATTACTAAATTTGTTTGGCTTGATTACTGATTAGAAAACGTATGACAAAATTGTAGTCTACTTTCAAGCGGCCGTCAACGCACAATTAGCCGTAGGTGCGGTTAGTGAATACCGGCCTTTAATGATTAAGTTGTCATGCATACGTTCGCCAGCTGGGCATGCTCTCACAAGTTGTTATTTTGCCGGGTTTGTTATGCCTGTTTCAGACGTCGAGTTTTTCATGTGCCGAAACTGTTGTTTTAAGTTAATTTGTATACTTATCAATGAGCTATAGAGAAAGCATGATTATCTCAGTGTGATTGATGAGCATTCTTGAGCAGAAGTTTCGAACTAACACCGAGGCATACGGATTATGACAGCTATAAGCCTTGCTTTCGTATTTATTTATATTTAACATATAGACTGGGGGCCAAGGCTCCCCCCCCGCCCTATTAGAAGTCCCCTGTTTAAAAAAACGTTGATAAAAGCCAACCTTTGTGTAATCCAACCTGAATGTACTTCATCATATCACCTGTAGAGTGCGAAAACATTGTATATTATTTTGAAATCAGGCAACTGATTTCAACTTATAAACCTTCGGCCATGATCAACATTTAAACTTCGTTGCGCCAGGTAGAGGTCCCATTTTGGTCCCCCATGCACTCGAAATTCCTTAAAGTACCCTGGAAAACATTGTTTATGCTTGTATTGAGGAAGGAAGTTTCGGCTTCTATTTTTAAGGACGCTGAAATGAAAACAGGAAATCAAATAATCAATTCAATCATTTTGAATTCAAACATTCAAAAAATAGTAATGAAATTAAAAAGGAACAGTGCAAGTAGGATGTAAAGTTCGTCAATTCACTTGTGTATACGTCTTGACAATATACAAAACAAATCTCAATAATTTTCTAGCAAAAACAATGTCACAATGATAAGACCATAACGTAAGAACGCATTTGCTAAAAGCACTTTGTCTTTGTTCTAGAATTGTTATCCTTTCATGGTAAACGGAAGTTACATGGTAGACACATAATATTCGTCATATAACAATATAGGGCCTAAGATTCTTATTGTAAACAACATAACGAAGATTCTTTGTCTTTTTATTTTTATTAATAAAGATATACAACGCGTTAAATATATCATTTCTATTACACATTTATTTATCGAAATCTGATACCATCTCGGTACGTCAAGCAGCATTCGGCATTTTCCTGTTGAATCCACACAGCATGGCGTTATCAAAGCGCATAGCTAGATCGTGTATTCATCTTGGTGTCGTTCAACTGATATTTGGTTGTGCTGGTGTAGCATGTGGGGCTGTAGCAAAGAGCAAATTGACAGGCCCCGTGGGAGCAACTATTGGATTATGGGCAGCATATGTAAGTTGAATAAACATATAAATACAATTGTATTTTATATATCTTCCTGTGTTTGTTGTCGTACATTGTCATATCACACAAATACACAATGACACTAAGTGAGATCATGCAGACGTAGCTGGCTAGATGTCATTATTCAATAAATTGTGATCTTTTATACATATATAGACCATTTATTAATTCGTTTAGCCATAAATCATTTAATAGTGTTTCATAATGTAAACAATATATTCGTTTAAAGCATTTAATAATTATCATGTACGGTATATTTTATACTGTACATTATTCGAAACACATCGTTAGCCCAAACGTATATTTTGGGTATCATTTTTCTTTGATTATTAAAGACTTGCACCTATCTCCGCATAAGCATTGTTGTTATCACGAGTTTACGTTTTTCGCTCCCAAAAAACTGCTTAATTGAATTGGCTATAATTTTATATTGTTTGTGTAAATATGTTTCAAGTCATGTGCCATGTATAATCATGCCGCATTCATAGCACTGATCAAACAATATAATTTTGGGATTTGAGTGATCGTATAAATGTTGCAAACTCACGGTCAATGGTCGTCCTGGCAAGCTAGCCATGCAGTACGTGACGAATCGGTGTAAACTTCGATCAAACGTGGGCACTGGCCTAGAAAAAATGTTGCTACATTCGGGAAAAATCGGCATAGAAATTATTTACTAGCCAAAAATCTGCATATTTCCTTTTGAATTGAGAACAGTCAAATTGAACTAATTACTTCTACGCGCAAACTCAACCTCCGTCTAAAGTCGTGTTTATTGGAAAATTAAGCACATAACACAAGGGTACGCGAAACACAATGGTTAAACACGATAACCATTGGTTAGTAAACATGATAACCCTTGGAAACGTATTTTGTATATTTCGTATATTTTTTGGAAACGTATAGTAATTAGTTGCACAGTCATTGAAATTCTAAAGTGCATACAAATCATGGTGTTTGCAGTTTTTTTTATACACCCTGTATATGCTGTTATAATTTTAAGGAAAATATACAAATATTTTGCTAGCGAACCATTCAAGAGAATGCAGTGGTATCACATACCACACGCGTTTTAGAAAGGTTTTCATGTAGCTGGCTAATATCCTCCCAGAACTATATAGGAAGCTTCCATGAAGATTAATAATAAATGTATGATTATTTGTAGTTATTATACAGGGTGTCTCAAATAATGCAGACGCTATTGAATTCACCTTTTGTTAGAATTTGAATGGCATAGCACTATAAGTGTTCCATAGTGTCCCTGAAATTTTTCGCCGCCTAACACTATAAGCTGAACGCAAAGATGTGCAAAACGACTCATTAAGACGTTGAAATTTATAAAGCGCACGAATAACAAATTAGTGCTAGGCAGAAACGAAGAAGAAGAGAAGGGGACCACGTCGAAGTTCAAGGCAGATAACTGTTTTTCAGGGACACACTAGAGCACTTAAAGTGCTATGCCATTCAAATTCTAACAATAGGCCCGCTTTTTTTGAGATACTCTGTAGACACCTGGGGCTGGTTGTATAAAACTCTTAAACTACATATTGTATAGTTTAATCCTATTTCACGACTCTGGTTGGCCAAAATGTTAACAACAGTTAAAAGTTAACTAGTCTTTTATACGAGAGTCAAACGTCGTACTTCTCATGCGCAAAGATACTGAAAAAGGTATAGATAATAATGCCTTGTTTTCTATTGTTTTAAGTTAGGAGCATTGGAAGTGCGACGTTTGACCTAGACCTAGTGTGATGAAGGTTTTGCTTCCAAAACATCAAACCCAAAAATTTGTGAATTATTCACGCGTAAAAACGCACAAGTTGTAACAAGTCTGCAGCAGAGTTGTTACAAGTCTGTTCACAAGCTTGCAACAAGATTTGTCCGCGCTGCTTGCTCCAATTTGTTGTAACAAGTTTGGGACAAGCTGTTAACAACTTATAGCAAGTCCGATGGCATTATCAGACTTGTTACAAGATTGTTCTGATAAGTCTTATACATCCTCTAAATTTCCAACGAACACCGAATAAGTGTAATACACACAAAAAATTGCAAATGGTTATAATTTTTTAAATTCTTACTAAATAACAGTCATAAGATAGTACGCGATGCCCGCATTGACCGGGCTGCCTGTTGTAATAACCGGGCAAAGCTTCCCAAGTCAGAAGCAATTACTCTCTTAAAAACATTAAAATAAGGTATATTTTAAGAGATATTATAAGTAACTGTTTTAGTCGATAAATTGAATTCTATATTGACAACTAGTCCCACCCCATATTCGTATCACCTTCGTATCGCCTCTAAAATCATTGTTTTGTTTCTTTACTGTAGTTCATCGCTTTAGGCGTGATTTGTCTTACTGCGGGAGTTTTTAAAGAATCCAGAGTCGTAAGTTTTGACGCCAAAAAACATACAACTTCGATGAATGATGATTGTTCGGCAAACGTCTATTAACTTTTTTAAAGAAAATTAACGGGCGGGTAACGATGTCTTGGATTTGGGAAAATACTCCATTTACAGCTAGGATCACAACCATTTGTGTCTGTTAAAGTTTTGCATGGTGTTTGAAAATAGACAAAAAAACTTCTGATCTATACGCGCCTTGTAATAAGTTCAATTTTTCTAAGCTTTTGGCTCGTGAGCCCGGACCATCATCAGAGAAATGATGTAGATCACAAATATATTTGTCTATTCGCAACTTAGTTTATTTCAGGGGCGTCGGAAGCAGGGGGGGGGGGCTGGGCTTGCTCCGCGTTCGACATCATTATAAGAAAGGCCTATTGAAGGTTTCGCCTAAAATGGAATAGATTGTTCAAAGTTTAGAAATGAGAAAAATTTATCTCCAATACTTTAAGTTGAAAACAATGAAGTTTTAACGTAATTATTCAAAAGGTCTAAAGGCCGGCGCACACCGGTCGACGATGCGATCCGCAAACGCGAAGCTACTAACTTTGACAATGTCGTGATATTCTCGGTAATTACCGATTCATAGTACATTTTGACTGGTCTGGTTCGCAAAATCTCTCAAAATGTTCTTTCTGAGTAGAATTTATTTAATTATGAAAATGAAAAATTCGCGTCGTGTTAGCGAATCGCGCTCAGTGTGTGTGGGCCTTAATTTGTTGACTCCTTATATAGAGCGACCTTATAATGATCGCTGTGTAATTGATTTTAGCTTGGATTTGCTCTTGTTTTTCAAGTCATTGGCCTGTTCATCGCAGCCGCTGGAATAATAATTTCCGCCATATTTTGGACATTTCTGAATACTTGCTCGAGTTCGCTGGTTGTTGGTCCAGTTTTACCCGATCACTGTCCTTGCGGGGTTGCTGCAGATCTTACGGACTGTAAGTTTCTGTGTGCTTTACTCAAAATGTTAAGTTTAAGAAAACAGAAGCGGTAACGTATAGAACGGATAAAGATACATTCTGTACGTTACCGCACATCTGTTTTCGCTACAATTACTGTGTGCATAGGAAATTTCAGATTTATTTCAAAATTCCAGAAATATTCAGGGTTCACGCTGCGTTCTAGTAATAGATTGGGAAATGTACGTGGGTTTCTCTAAGATTTTAAAGGAGATTAGTATTCGCCAATGCTGGAAGCATGCAACCCACTCACATGCAGGTCGCTCTTGTGATGATCAGAAATGATCGAACTTAACGCCCCCCCCCCCCCACAGATATAATTAAACTTTCTCCCCCATATAGATGACATTAGTTGTTCTGATCTGAGAACGGTGAGAAATGTCACAGCTGCCTCCACATTTATCTATTTGATTTTGGAAATTACTTCATTCATCGGTGTAATCTATGCTTGTGTTGGCATATGTTGTGCACCAAAGGTATGATGGCAATTATATGAAATATGTTTATCGTCGCTTCAGTTTTTGTGTAAGTAACAATAGCCGCGTTTACACTACGTGCTTTGACCTGGCCTGGACCAGGTTGTTTATCCGGCCTAGACCTGGTCTAGGCCACAAAATCCAGGCCAACAGCAGGTGGCCTGGACCCGGCCTGGACCTGACCTGGGGCAAGATTTTGGTAATGTGAACAGGCTTTACTTATTCCTGACAAATTTTGAACTTAATAGTATGATTTGTATAGGATACATATAGTATTACCACTTTTCGGCATGTTTTGGGTCTTTTTTCAAGTATTTTGTCAATTACTTTGGCAATCCGATGTCAGCAACAAGGAAGACAGTGCGAACGTGGCACATATTACCCAGACTTGTCCTATAGACCCAGTGAACTGAAATAAAACTGGAACGCTCACTCTGCCGGAAGTTTGAAGCCAAGATGGCGGATCATGAAGCCTTTCTTGTAGGTATGATTCAGGCCTCCACGCGGAAATTTTGTCGGGAATTCTGATTTTTCCTTTGAAGTTTCCGCGCCAGAGGCCTGGATCATACCTACAAGAAAGGCATCATGATCCGCCATCTTGGCTTCACTCATCAATGAGGGAAAGTCATAGAGTGAGCGTTCCAGTTTTATTTGAGTTCACTGTATAGACCTGGTCCAGGCCACTTAAGCGCGGCTTAAGTAAGGCGGTTCTTAGAGTTTAGGTCTATATTTAACATGCGTACTCTGTAAGAATCACAGTAGTTCGTAGGAGAATGAATTTGGGTAATAAGATATAAGGAATGCTGTGGCTATCAGGGGCTCGGCTGAACAGGGTGAGCTATGGCTACCATAGCCCCATCAGAAGTAAATGTGTGTTATAACATGTGTTCCACCGCCTCTGGTGGTTATATAGCATATAGAAAAAATACAGCATCGGGGTTTATTAGCATAATGTTATTATTTCATCGAGACTGATCCAAATGAAATTGTTATAAGAAAAAAAATAAAAATTGAAAGTGATGAAATTATATATAGAGTATACAGATGAACTTTTGTTGTCGGACCTACCACGAGAAACATGCTTTGACTAGCCTCCTCCGCAGGCATTTCTTATGTATTAAAAATATGCATATTTGGCTTGAGCTAGCTGTCGGTCGGAACGAGAAAAAAAATCTTTCCCTCGCCTTTCAGAGACAGCTAACCCTTTACCCATGCCTAATAACCTAATAGAATTTAATACATAAGAGATGCCTGTGGAGGAGGCTAGCTTTTGCCCATGCTTTTACGTGCGTGCATCACCGGAATATTTTTTCAAAATCCATACTATGGAAATATGCTGCACCCATACTGCATGTTTCCGTAGTATATATAGTATGGAAATGGAAATTATAGCATATAATTATAGCAATTATAGCATGGATAATAATATCCATAATAAAAACCTTCCAAATATTTATTATGCATAGTTATAGCTATGATAATACTAATAATTTGTATATAGTCGGAGCTACAGTGAAATATTTTCACTTTTCAGGAACCAAGGTCTGTTACTGTCACCACAGTTAATTCACATGGTGCATCAAATCCTGAGTCAAAACCGATGATTATGACCAAAATATTTAGAAAGAAACATCAACCACAGGATGACAAAAAGAAAAATCGCAAGCGTTGAGAAACCTCAATCACATGACTGCCAAACTACACTCACACGAGATAGTCACTCTTTCGGGGTAAACACAACTTTAATATTCTCAAATGTATTTCACTATAGATTTGAATGTGTTATGTGATAGACGACATTATAATCTCATTTGCAAACTCATAATCATAGTTTCGCAATTAAGACTGGTCGATTAAAGGAGAATGATATATAATCTATATAAGCTACCAAGTCTTTTAAACATGCAGGTGTGTCTATTTTGTCTATTCCGTATTTGCTGTATTAGTTTATTCATAGACTATATACTGAGCTTGATATATTGTTTTGCAAGGATAAAACAGACTCCGAAAAGCTATCACACCATTGCTTTACAGTACTGTCCAGAAATAACCTAACACTGCGGTTCGGTTGCGGTCGCCTGATAGAAACCGCAGACACCGCAAGTGAAAAAATACCTTCGCAGTGGCGAACAAAACGTTATGAACGGCTAAGAAGGACAACACAATAACCAAATCGGGTTAGGCCGAGGTTTAACCTCCATCTCACCGGGGTTGGACCTAGATCTGTCCTCGGTTCAACCGTGATCGGACCGATGTTTGACCTAGGTTAACCGCTTTTTTGTTAAGTTATTTCTGGACAGTACTGTACCTTGAAAAGGGTTAACTTTGTAAAGTTGAAATTTGAAGTTTGATTTAAAAAAGGTCAATTCAAAGCTTTTAAAGTCGAATGCAAATATTCGCACATTCAAAGAATAACATTTGACGTTTAGTCCCTGAACTCTGATGATTTTGTACTGTTTTGACGTTTTGAAGGTTGAATTTTTAACCATAACATTAGTATTACTCATTAATAAACTGTAAGAGTCCATAAATTGTAACTGGGGCATATAGACTAATAAATTTCTAAGCAGCAGAAAAACGGGTGATGTTAACTTCAGTTTTATGACCATATTTGACATTTTGGCTATACATTTAATTCCGAATAATATTAGTAAATCCGTTATCGACTTATTTGAGTCATGTTATAATATAAGCTTAGACTTCGCTCGCCCAGGAATTTGTCAAATTGGTTGTTTGGAATTGGCGAGGGGTTACTGCATGAATACACTAAATATTATGGAGTTGTAAACAATATCTTTGTATAAGGTCATCCACCGTTATAGCTAAACGGGCTTGATACAACCAACCCCTGCATTTCTGGCCATGCATATAAAGCGTCGAACGAAATACAATTCTTGTTTTCAACGGGGTGGCTCCAAAATATGTTTCGAAGAAGACAAAAATTTCTCGCATCTGGCGAAATATTGGGAGTAAACTTTCGAAAATTGTAGAATGCTAATAGAATGCAATATTTATTTATGCGCTCGAAATATGGCTCTGAACACACAGAATGAACTCGAAGACTGAAGTCACGTTTTTTCCCGCCATTTTGAGCCTTTGGAAACGTTCGGAACAACTTTTCGGTGCCAATTACAGGCAGAGAAAGAGTTGACGCTTGCATATAGACTTTTTTCCGCGGTGTTGTGTTGCGTGGAAAGTAATTTCCATGTCATTTTACCTTGATTCGGCTGGGTTTGTATAAAAGGCCCTGGGATCGCCGTTTCTGACTTCTGATTGGTTAAATGATTTATCCTAATTTATGTACAATGCGTATGCGGAATATTTCTAATTATTCTGAACCGAGCAAATAAATAAGGTGCGTTCAAAGGGTGCGGTAAATGGCAGAAAACAAGATTCGAACAACCTCGTTCCCAGGGCATTTTACCTTGATCTGTTAATTTATGCTTATTCAAAATACTCACGACATGTGGGTATTTTGAACGGCCGATCCCAGGGCCTTTCCTCTTCTCTCCTCCCCCCAACCCTCCCTATATAGTCCCAAAAGGCCATGGGAACGAGGTTGCATCCATCCTGGAATAGGACAATTGAAAATAATTTCCAGTGAGTGGCTCACGATGCATTTTTTAATTTTTGAGCCTTTAGTTTCGACCAGGGGTACAAAAAGTGTACTATAATGAATATATTGTTTAGAACAAAATTAAAAGAAGAGATTTTAATTTCAAAAACACATTTGATAAAATTTGTCTACACCACTATTCCACTATCTAGACATTACAACAGATACTTCTGACGTTCTCGATCCTGAATATTCTGACGTTCTCGCTTTATTCAAGAAAATGTTAGGTAAGCAAATGAAACGAAATCATTTTGGCTTCCGCTAGTTTATTGTCTGATTGCAACAACGCACATGCACGAAGGAATGCATCTCCAAATAACGTGTTCCATTAGTTGATAATAGCACCAAAAAACGTATAAATGGTATTTTCAGTTAAGACTGGTTTCCATAATTATATTACATAATTCGCAAATTGTTGTAATTTAGTTTTTAAGTCGAATTTCACACTAACAAGGAATTATGACCAATTATGACATATGAAAACCATGCAGGCTTTGTGCGGAATGCGACAGATATCGCGAAGCTATGCACCTTTAATTCCATAATATAACATGATATAACAAGAATTCCATAATGCAGCAAATAATATAACAAGTATAATATAGTTTATATTGACTTAAAGAGTCACTTTCCTGTAACTTTTTTATATAATAGCACATTGCTGTCAGACAAACAATGTTTGTCGTCTTTTTTGTCCTTACTCCGACAAACAATTTTATACACACAACCTTGGCAGTATGTCATGCATGTGGAAAATTGGTAGTGAGAGAATGACAAAAGCTTTTCTCTGAATTCATAAAGGACTGTTTGTAATTCTGAGGAATGTTAATTTGTAAAGAGTGCTCGAAATGTTAAGATAAGTCAGCGTAATAAAAATAATGTTGTATTGCCAACTTTAGATGTCTCAAGCGTTTAGATTTGCATTACAAGTCGCAGGGCGAATTGCATAGCACCTAAGTGTTATATTTAAGTTAAGTGTTATAATGGAATCCTGTGGATTTTTTTTCAACATATTTTATTATTAGCACGATGAAAGCCCCATTTAAGCTACACACAGTTTTAGTTTTGGTACTGATAAAATTTGAAGGTATTCCAAATCTCATCATTCTCAATTTTATTCGTATACCAAAACTAAAAATTGAACATAGTGCAAACAGATAAAATTGGTATGGGTAAAACTTTACTAACCAATTTCATCCTTACCATTTTTTACCGTACCTAAAGTTGTGCGCAATGTAAATAGAGCTGAAATTACTGGATGCTGATTGGTCAAAAGCGCAGTTATTCATAAATTCTTCTGCAAAAATAGACAAAATGGCAAAAATTTATTTGGATACAAGCCAAACAGGAAGAAAAAAGGCCAATTAGAAGGTGAACGAAAATACTACCATATATGATAAATGTGCAGCAGGAGCGTGTATTTGTACAACAAACTATCATGAATGCATTGAAAATAATTATGTCTTAAAAGATCTCGAGGGAGCGCTTCAAACGAAACGCATTTTATAATTTTGTCATGCTGATCATAAACAAATTAATCATGCAATATTTCCCGTACAATTAGGGTTTAATAGTATACTCATGATGTTTGAATATGTTACTAATTTTGCCAAAATTTTCAAACATCATTCGTACTATAATGCCGAATTGTACTTGTCATCGCATGATTACATGCACTAATTCATTACGAATACTAAGGCCCGTTTCAAACATGGAACATTCTGTTTCAAGTGCCGGATTGAACGCAAATGAACTTAAACAAAGACCCGTCACATTAGGTTCGGCACATGAAAAGTTCGACGTCTGAAACAGGCTTGATTAAACGTGAATTCGTCAATTTTCCATGCCGGAAGGATGGTATATTTTAAGCATTAAAATGCGTTCAGAAATAACAATAACATAAGTTTGTTCTAATTCTATAATTATTAGAAAAATTCGATAATTCCTTCACAAATATGTTAGTGAAATAACAAATTTCAAAGATTTTTTCAAAATATAAATAAAAATAATATTAATAATATAATTATTTGGGGAAGAAAGGAGCACCTTATCCTAAAACCGTAATTGCTTTCGAACCACATTACACTATACACAGTTTTTCTGTACGTCACCTTGACATTTCACATTCGATAAATGATGCAGAGCCAATGTCAAAAACTATTCTCGCAACGCGCATGCGCGATTAGCTTTAGGCATTACAATTAGCAATAGTAAATGAATAACTGGTACCATTTTCTTATAATTATCACGAAAATGCGGTGGAAACTTTATTAGAATGCGTTATACAAACGTGTACAAATTGTTTTAAAATACTGTCTGCAAGCTCGTGTTAGTTCCTAGGTCTTTGGACTGTTAGCGCTTGGTGAATGTGGTGATTTTTGTCTCAACAAATTATATCGAATTCTTTTTTGTCCCGATCCTCTGTGGCTGTAGGAAAACTCTGATGTTACATAAGGTCTTTTCCCGTACGTGTCTTGTTTCTTGAGGTGAGAAAATAAGTAGGTTTTATTAGCAAATTTTTACTTTAATAATAAATTTTCATGCAAATTTTTATGCTTATCATTCTCTTTTACACCCAAATAATACAAGGACGCTTTCTACATATACACCCCGTACAATATTGTCACAAAACGCATGTAGCTAAAACCTTTTGTCCTTTTTCTCATCTACATTATAGCCTTTCACACTAAAAAAACTTTACTTCTTAGGCTCTTAGCATAATCAAGAAATCGGCCAACAAAGCTTAATTCTTGTGAGACAGACATTCTACCCTCGACAAACATGCAATCAATAAGCCAAAATGCCCAGCGCGTTTCCAGACACTGTAATTATGTATATAAAGACCACTTTGACGATATGGAGTACAGGGTACTGAGTAGATTTTTGCTACTCGGCGTAATATAAAAGAACTTATTCTTTGCTGGAGCCTTTTCTCGCTTTCGATATAAGACGAAACTGATTAGGCGGACTGTCATAGATAGAGATTTGGACAAAACTCTTTTAATTCGTATTCCTATTCCTGCACTATAAACAAACCGGATTGTTTTTAAGGAATAAATTAGCCAGATTATTGGTATTATAATGACCTTTGTTTTCTTTGTTTCCAGCAAAGAAATCGATTGGCCTCCTATGACATTTACCTTATATAGACAGTCAAGAATCTCAAGACTTCCCTTCACCAGAACTTGAACTTTATTTAAAACTTCAATGGGTTCAGGTGTGATGATATACACAATCTGCTTCTCCACGTCGATATTTCGAACTATACCTGCATGTAAAATAGTTTGCACGATAAAAAAGAAAACGTAAAAAAAATCCAGTTCTACGAAACCAACTCACCTAACCCTAGATATTGTCCAAACTGCATCTTATTAAAAAGAAAATTATCATCGCTTACTTCAGTTGATTCTGTCTGAAAAAAATGAAAAAAGCTCCTTCTTACGGTGGATTATACACCTCCCGGTATAGAGACGGTTCCCTAAATACATAAGCTTCAAAAGTGGCCATTAAAACGAGTACATTACGCGAGTGAAACATGAAGTCGCACAGTTGTTTAATTGAGATGCAATAATACATTATAGCTCACCCTTCAAACTTAGGGTAAGTAAAACAATGATTGACGTTCACAGCAAACCGCTAACAGTAAAATTAAAAGAAAACCTCATAAGATTTCGAGAACAGTTATGCTCCAATTTTCATAGAAAAATTGTCCCAAAACAATAAACAACTATAACAGTTGACAAAAGATTCGGTTTACCAGTAAACCAGTCAATCCTTGAGGTTTGAGTGCCTATAATAGTGTATTTAATACACACATGTATCTGTGCAAACTTGGGTGTGTAAAATTACCTGATATAACTTACCACATTTACATCGGTTCTGACAAGACCGACCACACTACCGTTGATAGAATGGAGCAGTTCATCAGGGCAGATCTATTCAGAAATTTTCGAATTATTTGTGCGTTCATATACAGCACTTCGTTTTTACGTACATATATACGTTTTTTGGAATGCATGAAAAATAGACATGGACTTTGAGTAATTTTAAACAAACTTGTTAAATATTTGCAAAGAGAATTTTACCTGATAGTAAAGCAAATGTAAACTTAGCTGTATCTTCTCTAACTTTAAGGGAGAGGGGGGAGAAAGATGTGAAATCCACCAAAATTACATTATTCTTAAGAGATAAGTGTTTTTTTTTGTCCAGCAAAGTATGTAGGAAGAAGCTATAGATTTTTTAGAAAATGTTTCAGACACTATTTTAACTTTTTTCGACGATACACAATATAACTTTCCACTCAATTTAAATATCTAAACAATTTGACAAATAGGGATTATAGTACCCATCAGAATGGGGTGAGTTTAAATAGATCAATAATTTCACTGTTATAACAATATAACAATAAAAATAGTAATGAATTATACTTTTGATATTTCTGTGAAAATTTTATCTTTCTATTTATAGTTGTAAAACCTACAGGATCCTATCGTTGCAAATCGTTACAGAAAATGTCCAGCAGTTGACCCACATCCACACAATATAAAAAAATTCATAGCCAATTTTGGTGACCTTTTTGAACGATCCCAAACCCCCTTCCCTAAGAAGAAATGCATTTGTGCATGCTCCTGCCCGTGACGCGATATATATACATTGCTACGGATTTTATCATTCATTTTATGATAGAAACAATTACTTACATCATCATACACACTTAAAATCGTGAGACCATCCAAAGATCTTGAATACACGTTAGAATGCCTCAAAATATATTCTTGAACGGATGTAGTAACGCTTGTAATGCTCGTCTGAGGTATAAAATAGGATAAGAGAGACAAAGATCGGAGGTCGCTTGGTTTTAAACCTGACCTGAAAGAGAAATGTACAAAAAAATTACCAATGTGCAAACACTGTACATTGGAATAGTCATAAATTATAAATTAATTTGAATGCTTTTATGTTAGTGTTTGGAAGATTTAATTATTATCTGCTAGCTGTATAATCAAGAACATTGACTGATTATATTCCAAGATTATATCCTGTGATAGTTTACCGTTAAAACTTACCCTGAAGTTTCTAAGTCTTCTTTGAATGCATCCATTTGTTGAATATAAGGATTACATGCCCAGGAGTCACTACAAAAAAAATTTAAGTTACATTTGAGTTAAAGCGTGCTGTTAGTAACAAAATACACCAAGCGCCGAATGAAGTATCTTAACCAGTACGCTATATGATTATCAATAATGGTAATTGCATTGAGTGGAGTGCAATTTGGTGTAAAATCAAACGCGTGATTACAAAGTCGCACGATCGGGAAGCAGAAGTGTGATTTGTAATCACAAGTTTGATTTCACACCAAAATTGCACGACACGAAGTGCAATTTCCACTTTATTATATTAATTTTGAAATCATACAAAAAATTAAAACAAATTCAAAACGATTTGTTGGCTGAAAGAACCGTAAACGGTGTAACAGGTAAGTAAAGAAGTCTGGTCAAGAAATTTTGCGGGGCATTTGAAAAAAAAATAGTAAAATTTTGTGCCCCTGGAATTTTGATTGGATAGTTACACTGAAATTCTAAATCTGGTTGGTAATTGTCGTGCAGAGCTTCAATCTTATTGGCTACAAAATGATGTGATTAATGCTCAAAAATAGTGCGATTTGGGAGTTAATCAGACTATTTTTAACCAATCAGATTGCAAGAAACACTATTGATTTCAAAATGAATATAATAAAGCGTTGAACTAACCTTTCATCGGGACAAAGATAACTCCAACCTTTTACTGAGGATAAAAATTCTTTATTAAGGACTGGAAAGTTCTTAGCTGGCTGAGAGTCGAAATTAATTTGTACAACATGACTTGGCTGAACAATACGGATTATATCCAACAATATCCGAACACCCATTCCTAAAACACAAACAGAATATAATTCTATAATTTTGCATGACGAACAACAATGACGTACGCATAGGTATACACCACGTTCATAGGAACACCACGTAAATTATTACAACGCTAAACGATCTATTAACCCGTCCCTTTAAAATTATTCGTATTTCATCACTATATCCATGGCCGATTTGAGCACATTAAAAACATCAGATGTCTAGTTCATATAATCGTATTTTATCTTTTAGGGAGTGTTTGGTAGCATATTTTCGCTTATTTCATTAACGGCAGCACTTGCAAACCATTGTTTTGAGTTAAGAGGCATGTTAAGAGGACGAATTTTGTAACAAATCGGCGCTCAGTAAATTGACAAGCCTCGTTTTCGCACCATGCAGGTCTCACGAGTTGCATTCACTTTGCAGAAGAGGTGTTAATGACAATATAAGTAGAACGTTTCATGAAATCATGTTACGTGAAACAGCACTGGCAATACATTTGTTACGGAGCAAGAAGACAATAATATTGAAAGTCAATAACAAACAAACTTCAATGTCAGAAAAGAATGCTGCATGTGTTGCAATGTTTTACTTCACCTTTCACCCAGCCACATGTATTGACTATCAAGGGTGTTTCACGACAATATTCAACGTAGTACTTGTATAAGAAATATATCAATTGCACGTAAGTACTTGGATGGTCCTTTGGGGAGATGTCTCCAAAGAAAAATGCCCTTGGCAATTAAAGAATAAAAAAGCAATTAGTGTCGTTTATTACGTTATATTACGACGACTAATACGGCTAAGGTGGTTCGATACAATTTCTCAAAATTATTAGATGTGACAATAAAAATCTGCGATAAAACATTATAAAACATGTCACGACATTTCGACGTTTCCAGAACGTCATTATCAAGTGAAAAATACAATTATGAAATAGAGTATATATAGTGAAGAGATGAATAAATTATTGAAAGTTAAACAAAGAGTTTGGCCCTAATGGAGTCGCTCTGAGTGTTTAAATTAGGTCTTATTGTTCTTATGTACAGCATCTCATAAACGAGACAATCCCATTTCGTGCTACACTTCTTAAGCGTTCTAAACTGGCTCTCATTGAGTAAATCAAGTTTACTGTTTTAAATGTGATTTGTGTGATTCAAATTACGTCGGATATACGACGCGCCATCTGTTTCAACGCATCGCTGAACATCGATATTCTGCTATTGGTCGCCATCTGAGAGATGCCCATGGGAACATTGATTTACTCAATGAGAGCCAGTTTAGAACGCTTAAAGCCTGGTTTCCATATAACGCCGACCTGTCGCCGACATGCCGCGGGCTCGAGTCGGCACATTGAGTCGGTGAAAGCAAACTATGTCGCCGACTAGCCTGCGGGCGGGAGTTTTAAAAATGGCGGCAATAAGTGCTTGTCGTTTCACGATGCTTGATATGAACAATTAACCACCTCAGATACTCATACTCTTCCTTGAGTTCGATGTCTTTTCGTCCTGATTCCGAACGGACTGCTTTGATGCTCTATAAATACTTAGAAAACATCGTTTGGATGGAATTGTACCTTGACTGGGCTTCGGAAACAGGAATTTTCAATTCATCTGCCACTGCTGCCCACGCATTTTTCTTCTTTTGCTGATCTTTATAGCCCTTAAAAGCGTTATTGTAAATAGCTTTGTAATTTTGTATTATTTCCATTAATATTTCGATTGAGACTGAATTTGCTTTCTCTACCGCCATTTTGAAAATTGGCATGGGAAAAATAAGGCGCAGGCATCGCAGATTGGTGTTTCCATATCGAAAATTCACTGCGACAAGTCTGCGAGTAGTCCCCGGCTATTAAAAAAGTTGAACCCGTCCCGACTTTCCCGACTCGAGTCGGCGACTACAAATTAGTCGCAGATGTCGCCGAGAACGAACCGACAACGTGTTTCCATATGTATATGCCCGGAATTTGCGCTAACTCGAGTCTGCGGCATGTCGGCGACAGGTCGGCGTTATATGGAAACCAGGCTTAAGAAGTGTAGCACGAAATGGGATTGTCTCGTTTATGAGATGCTGTACATAAGAACAATAAGACCTAATTTAAACACTCAGAGCGACTCCATTAGGGCCAAACTCTTTGTTTAACTTTCAATAATTTATTCATCTCTTCACTATACAGGGTGTATCAAAAAAAACGCAACTACTTAAGATTCTAAAATTCATATTGTTTTATGCCTTCTAATCGTACAGTTCAACTGCTAATGGTCAAATCAGCTAAACTAATAATGGTGCAGCTAACAACCGAACAACGAGTTTTTATTGTCGTGCATGATAACTTGAATGCTAACTGTCGACCTTGTAAAATAAATTGTAAATAAAATTTTACTCGTTAAATACTTTCAATTCAGCTCGTTGGTTTACGCACCCGACTTTGTTTACCGTCGATTGTGCCGCTAGAATATGATTACAAGCTTTCTCGCATTCCAGGGGCCAAACGTCTTTTGTGTTGTAGAACAAAGAGGATATTCATGAATATTAAGTGGTTGCGTTTTTTTTTATACACCCTGCATATACTCTATTTCATAATTGTATTTTTCACTTGATAATGACGTTCTGGAAACGTCGAAACGTCGTGACATGTTTTATAATGTTTTATCGCAGATTTTTATTGTCAAATGTTTTACCAAATCTTTACTTATTCGAATTATTAGATGCACATTTTAATGTGATATTAAGCGGTATATCTAAATATTTCACAAGAAGACTAAAAGTCAATATACTTTACAGGAAACGTATTTAGAACGGAAATCTTTTCGGAACTTGTGCTTGGCACCCGTTACCATGGAAACAGAGACGTTTCAAAATAGCTGCCGAACAAGGTTTAATCGTGTTTATATCACAAACGAGTTCGGTGACCCTATTTTTTTTGCATTGAACGTTTAGATGCTTTATCTATAAAAAAGTTTTAAAAAAAATCTGTCATGGGCATGGGGATTTTTTTCTATTTACAAAAACGTTATTTTGGCTTATTAAAAAAATTCCCCACGAAAGAATTTTTTTAAAACTTTTTTTCATAAATAAAGCTGCTGTAGCGTAAAAGTTTAATGCAAAAAAATTGAGGGTCACCGAACTTGTTTGCAATATAAACACGATTAAACCCTGTTTGGCGGCCATTTTGAAACATCTCTGTTGCCATGGTAACGGGTGCCAGGCAAAAGTTCTGAAAAGATTTCCGCTCTAGATACGTTTCCGGCAAAGTATATTAACTTTTATCCTTCTAGTGAAGTATTTAGATGCTTAGTATCCCTCTTTAAAATGTGCACCAAAAAATTTCGAGAAACTGTATCGAGCCACCTTAATTTAGACGAAGTTCAAAGCATTTGTAATCGGTTGAACAAGAGGCTAATGCCACCCAAGATGATGGACTACAGTTTTGATACATGCAACAT